TCTCCTGCATCAGCCTCCTGAGTAGTTAGGGCTACAGGCACCACCACACCTGGCTAATTTTGTAGTTTTTAGTAGAGATATGGTTTCTCCATGTTGCTCAGGCTAGTCTCAAACTCCCAACCTCAGGTGATCCACTTGACTCAGCCTTCCAAACTGCTGGGATTACAAGTGTGAGACACCGCACCCAGCCTCTATCTGTTTTTACAATTATACTATTAAATACATGATGTTCCGTGGCAGTTGTAAATTTTTAATGTCAATTTTTAGCTGAATGGAATTCCCATGAAAATAATAAAAGTAGCAGCTAATATTTACTGAGCTGCTACTAGGTGCCTATAAATGCCATAGATTTTTAAATTCCCCATAACTCTTCCTTATTTCACTTAACTATTCTATCTTAAATTACTCATGCTTGCTTCAGTAGCGCATATACTAAAGTTGTAACAACAGAGAGATTTGCATGACCTCTGTTCAAGAATGACATGCAAATTTGTGAAGCGTTCCATATGTTTCTAAAACAGAAAAATATTAATCCTAGATTTTCATTGTGTTTGTGCATATGACCCTTTCTTTAGATTGAATTATATCCAAAGATGATATTTCTGGAAATGAGATTACTGTGAGTCACAGGGCATTAGCATTCTTATTACACTTGATGTAAATTGCTGAGCTTTCAGGCATGGTGGCTGTCGGCCTATAATTCCAGCACTTTGGGAGGCTGAAGTGGGAGGACTGCTTGAGGCCAGGAGTTGGAGGAGGCAGTATAGTGAGTCACTGTATTATTTTTTCAAAAATTTCCAAGCTTTACCCTGTGGAAGGCTTATATGCAATTTAAACATCACTAATAGTTAAATAAAATGCCCATTTCACTGCACTTTTGCCGGCACAGGATATAATAACAAATTATTTTTTGTTTGATTAGTTTTAATTAATAAAGGACCTCATACTTTATTTTTGTCACATTTTAATATATATTTTCTTATGTTAGCTTATTAGCTTGCCTTCCTGCCTGCCTGCCTTCCTTTCTTTCTTTTCTTTTCTTATCTTTTCTTTTCCTTTCTTCCTTCCTTATTCTTTTCTTCTTTTCTTTTCTTTCTTTTCTTTCTTTTGTGTTTCTTTTTGTTTAAGCTTTCTATTATATTTTTTAATTTTTATGTTACTTATTTTATTTATTTATTTATTTTTAATGCATTTTAGCTTTTGGGGTACATGTGAAGAACATGCAAGATTGTTGCATAGGTATACACGTGGCAGTGTGACTTGCTGCCTTCCTCCCCCTCACCTATATCTGGTATTTCTCCACATGCCATCCTCCCCAACTCCTACCTCCTGCTGTCTCTCCCCTATTTTCCCCCAAAAGACCCCAGTGTGTAGTGTTCCCCTCCCTGTGTCCATGTGTTCTCATTGTTCAACACCCGCCTATGAGTGATAACATGCGGTGTTTGATTTTCTGCTCCTGTGTCAGTTTGCTGAGAATGACAACTTCCAGGTGCATCCATGTCCCTACAAAGAACACGAACTCATCATTTTTGATTGCTGCATAATATTCCATGATGTATATGTGCCACATTTCCCCTGTCCAGTCTATCATCAATGGGCATTTGGGTTGGTTCCAGGTCTATGCTATTGTAAACAGTGCTGCAATGAACATTTGTGTGCACATGTCCTTACAGTAGAACAATTTATAATCCTTTGGATATATACCCAGTAATGGGATTGCTGGGTCAAATGGAATTTCTATTTCTAGGTCCTTGAGGAATCACCACACTGTCTTCCACAATGGTTGAACTAATTTCTTTTTAAACCTCTTTTTGTATTTTTTTTTCTTTTTTTCCCCTCTTTTTCTGTGTTTTTTTTTATTTTTTATTTTTTGGTATTACTTATTTCATTCATTTCCTCTTTTTTTTCCTATTTATTTTATTGCATTTTAGGTTTTGGGGTACATGTGAAGAACATGCAAAATTGTTGCATAGGAACACACATGGCAGTGTGATTTGCTGCCTTCCTCCCCATCACCTACATCTGGCATTTCTCCCCTTGCTATCTCTCCCCAGCTTCCCACCCCCCACCGTCCCTCCCCTATTTCCCCCCAACTGACCCCAGTGTGTAGTGCTCCCCTCCCTGTGTCCATGTGTTCTCATTTTCTGTGTTTTTTTTAAAAGGTGTATCTGCAGAGTCCCAAGTAGAAAAATTCAAATTGTTAATTCCTCAGTACAAATTAAAGTTTCTGCTATTCTTCCTTAGAAGACTAGGAAGAACAAAATAATCTGGAAGAATAAAAAAAAATCTGAGGTCAGATTTTTAAAAAGGAAAATTGACCCATACGGTTGGTGTAACATGGCTTCTCTACAGTAAATAGTAATTCATCAAAGTGACATATGAATTGATATAACACAGCTTCCAGGACATTCACAGACATAGGCTTTGTGTTTCTTATCCATACTCAGATTTTCCTTAACCAGTTGAACATTCTAGTTCTTTCTTCATTTCTTAATCCCTTAGCCCACTCTCCATAATATTCCTACTCCTCTGCTTACTTCTCTGATATATTTGGCAACACTGACTAATTTCCTTCAGAGATCATTGAAGACTATTAAATATATATTCCAGAAATTCCTCCAATGCACATGTCATCAAGGCATAGAGAGGTATATTTGCAGTAGACAGCTTCTCCATCCCCCAAACAAAAAGAAACAGTTCTCTAACAAACTGAAGTATTAGTGGTGATAATCCTAGCCCAATTATTTTATCATCTGGGTTTTTTTTTCTATCCTCTTAATTAGATTGGGCCACACATTTTGGCATGTTGTAAAAAAGTTTCTGAAGGGCAGAATTTGTGGAAGAGTGAGAGAGAGAGAGAGAGAGTTCTAAACTGAAAGACTCAAAAAATAAACAAAGACATCACAAATGAGAGCAGATAAAATGTTCACAGTCTAACATTTTTTTTTTGAAAGAAAACAATCCTCAGAGGCAAAAAGACTTACCGTTAGTGACAAAAAGAAAAACACACGTGCTAAAGAAGATTAGATACTAAAACTGGGAGCAAAAAGGCAGTGTAAATAAGTGCAAAAGTGCACATAGAAAATGTTGTAGTAAAGAGAATGAATTAAGAAAGGCATCAGATTAAACCAAAAGAAAAGAAGTGAAAGAATTATGAAACACTAGAAACAGAAGTCAGAAACAAAAGGTAACTGAGAACTTCAAAATATAGAGACTGAGAAGATGAAAGGATAGGCCAGGTGAGGTGGCTCACATCTGTAATCCCAACACTTTGGGAGGCCAAGGTGGGTGGATAACTTGATGTCAGGAGTTTGAGACCAGCCTGGCCAACATGGCAAAACCCCATCTCTACTAAAAATACAAAAATTAGCCAGGCGTGGTGGCAGGCACCTGTAATCCCAGCTACTGGGGAGGCTGAGGCAGGAGAATCGCTTGAACCTGGGAGGTGGAGGTTGCAGTGAGCTGAGATTGCACCATTGCACTCTAGCCTAGGAGATTAGAGTAAAACTCTGTCTCAAAAAGAAAAAAACGGAAGAAAAGAAGATGAAAGGATAACTGGAAGAAATGTAAAGACAGGAGGAGTGGTTTAATGGTGTCTCAAATAATTCCTATAAAGAAAAAATAATATTTTGCATAGAATAATACTTGCAATGGAAGCTTCAGAGAGTTATACCTCCTATATATTTGCATGCTCACTGAGTTACTTCTTTCCTTAATTGAAATTTCACAGAAAAAAAAATCATTCCTTCTGAAGCAATCTTTCAAAAAATTGTGGTGGTATCTACTGTTTACATCAGAAAAATTTTGCTACTCTTGGGAAAACCCAGGATTCTCTGTTTTGGGGAGTGGGATGGGAAAAAAAATCTCATCACAGCTGCCTGAAATGAGACAAAAAAATAAATTGCTTTCACCACAGTTCGACACAATCAATTTAGTTAGTCTGTCTTTCTGTAGCAACATTGACTCTGAGTCATCTGCACAGAGTCTTGGTGTCATCAGTGTAACTAGGGTTGCTTGGATATGCCCTGTATGTCTCTAAGGTCCGAAGTTAGTGGGACAGGACAAACTCTATAGTTTAGGTTAGGACACCAGAAGAGTCTAGAAACCAATCATTGGCATGCATGGGACACTAAGGAAATGTTTCTTTAGATAAATGTCTTCCTTCTCTCCCACTCATTTCAAGATCCCAGGATGTAGGGCACCTCTGGCCTACATACTTGGCCCATTCTACAAACTCTCAGAAACTCAGGGTACCACTGCAGTTTGAATCTACCCACAAGATGAATAACTGGAATGCATAATCATTGAGTAAAACCAGTCATGTCATATACAGGGAAACTGTAGCCTGAGTTGAAGGTTCATACTCACAGTTTTGATGATGCCAACACAGGTCTAGTGACTGCGTGGTAAATGGTGGCCCCTGGGGGCAGTGGAACAGCCAGGATGTAGGCTTCAATAGTTCAAGCTTTAGGTTGTTTTCTACTATGGAAATGGGAGGCTTATGGGAAATCCCTAAGTCTCTAGCCAACAGCAGGGCTTAATAAAATTTGGTTAGTAAAATGAATGAATGAATGAATGATTTTTATAACTTCTCTCAAAGCATTAGGTAATTGCAGTCACCTCCCTCATTGCCTGATCACCCCCAGTCCATTATAGTAGAGTCAGAATAGGCATTAATCTAAGGACAGTAATATTTTGACTTGGCATCCCTGCATTTATCACTTTCTTTCACCATTTAATAAAAGCATTTGATATGAAGTATGAGGGACTTATGTGTTTCCTTCCTGCATCCTTTGTTGAAGCAGTTTTAAGTTCATATCAATACTGAGCAAAAGATACAGAGCATTCTCATATGCCCCACAAACACATACAGTCTCCCCCACTATCAAAATCTTTCACCTGTGTCCTGAGGAATAAAATGTTCCAGTGATGTAGAAAAAAAATCCTGCACCACAGTGGTGCATTTGTTAGGATCAATGAAGCTCCATCGGCACATTATTACTACCCAAAGTCTACTATATACACTAGGGTTCACTCTTGGTGCTGTATGGTCTATGGGTTTTAATAACTGTATAATGGTATGTACATACTGTTATAGTATCATATGGGATAATCTCACTGCCATAAAAACCCTCTGTGCTCTGCCTATTCATCACTTCCTCCTCCTCACCCCCTGCAACCACTGATCATTTTACTGTCTCTAACATTTTGCCTTTTCAAGCAAGTGACATAAATTGAATCATACAATATGTAGCCTTTTCAGATTGGCTTACTTCACTTAATAATATACACTTAATGTTCCTTCACGTCTTTTCGTGGCTTGATAGCTCATTTCCTTTTAGTGCTGAATATTTCATTGCCTGGATATACCACAGTTTATTTTTCTATTTACCTACTGAAGGACATCTTGGTTGCTTCTAAGTTTGGGCAATTATAAATAAAACTTGTAGAAAATTTTAACTTCTTTGGGCAAATTCCAAAAAGTACAATTCCTAGATCTATGGTAATAGTG